TGGTGGGACTTAAAGAAAGCAGTTGCAGTGTGCAAGCCTAAGAATTTGACTGAACTGGAGGCTTTTGCCCATGAAGAATGGGCGAAGATACCCGTAGGTCGCTGCAAGACACTTGTGTCAAGCTATGCTTCATGTTTAAAAGCTGTTATAACTGTAAAAGGATGTTGTACTAAGTACTAAGATTGAATGTCACTTGGGGGTTGAATAAAAACTAATAATGATGTGAGCACAGAAAAGACATTTGTGGTTATTTCATTATAAACTTAAGGTTATATTTCTCTGACCTACAAGTGCCTCTTTCATGTAAATGTAAGCAAGATGACTGAATGATCAAAATCAATGTCAAAATGGCCAAAACATTCAATTTCAGTGGGGGTTGAATAATTTTGAACACAACTGTATAAGTGGTTAATAGATGAACATGAGATAGAACAAATTGAGGCTTATAAATATTTGGGTGTTGTTCTCCAATATAAAGCAAACCACAAGGCCCATGTTAACAATGTGGTACAAGCAGCACAAAAATCTAGCCTTGCTATACTAAAATTCTTCTATTCAAAGGGAGGTCAGTACATCCCAGCAGCACTAAGATTGTATCAGGCCAAATCCCTCAGTCAGCTTTTGTATGGAGCACAATTAGGCCCCTATTCTTCGTTTATCCAGTTAGAAGTAGTTCAGTCCAAATTTGTGAGGGCTATATTACAAGTTCCAAGAGGGGTATCCAATGCAGCCCTCAGGCTTGAAGTGGGCTACCAGAAGGTTGAAGCTAGAGCTTGGCTGGCTATTTTTAACATTTGGCTAAAACTAACCTTTCAACCAATTGGACTGACTTCACTGGTATTACAGGATAATCAGTCACCTTGGAAGAGAGAAATATACCATAAAATCAACAGATACGGCTATTCGGTAGAAAGTATCCAACAAATGGGATACGTTAAGGCCAAGAGTACTCTTAGGCAGCGTATTATTGAGACAGAAAGGCAGCAGGACCTTGGTACTATCAAGAATAGGTTTATACTTGACAATGCACTGCTTCCACCCAAACCGGCAAAATATCTCTACTTACCCTTAACACCTAAACAACGCAAAGCTCTTACTCTGGCCCGCTTCAATGCAGTCCAGGATGGGAAGTATAACAACACCACACTGGTTTCTAATGCTTTCTCAAAGGGTTCAGAGGAAAATGTATTGGATTATTCTATTTTACCCCTCAGGATATGTGTGGTATTAGTGGATAGAGTGGTAGAGTAGAACTCTGGAGAATAGGGTTCAAATCCTCACTCAGCCATGGAAACTCACTGGGAGAGTGAAACTGGTAAAACCACTCCTTAAATACCTCAATTACCTTGAAAGCCCTTTTAGGGTTGCTATAACTTTTTCCCGAATGATTGCACATAATAACACAACCCTTGGTGAGATAGGCTAGGATGAAAAAAAGGCAGAAAGATGGAGAAAAATTTGCCCAAGGCCTCCAAATACAGCAGTTCGAAAGCACGTAAATGCAAGTAGATAAATAGGTGCCACCTTGGTGGAAGGTAACAGCATTCTGTGTCTAGTTGCGCTGGCCACGTGACCACGGAAACTGTCTTCCAACAAACGCTGGCTCTATGGTTTGGAAACGGGGATGAGCACCGCCCCCTAGAGTCGGACACAACTGCACTAAAATGTCAAGGGGAACCTTTACTACCTTTCTAATCTACATCCAACCTCTATACCACACGGTGGAGGGAGCACAGAAATTGGGCAAAGGAGTCAAATGGCATCAAGAACATACAGGAGCCAGACAGACAAAGAAGGAGCACATGAAACACGAAAAAAAGGAGTACAGTGGGGTCTTGACTTAAGAACGACTTGAGTTAAGAACATTTTGACTTAAGAACCACTCTCATAGGAAAATATTGACTTGACTTACATACTTAGATTTGAGTTAAGAACTGAAAAAATCCACGTGGGAGGCAGGGAAAGTGCAAAATTTGAACTTTCAGTTAACTGTTGGCCAGTGAAAAGGGTGCCTGTCTGCTTCCTCACTCCTCCCAGCGTTTAGAGAGTGGATTGGGAGACAGTCTTCAGACTGCCTGGACTGTATTTTCCCCGCCTTCCCTGAACCTTTCTTGACCAAAGAAAAAAAGAAACAAAATATCCCCCTCTAGTGGTCGAAGGCAGAATAGCAGCTTCCCATTAGTTTCTATGGACGGAAAAGAGCAGATACGGATCAAATGGTTTTCAATGCATTCCTATGGGAAATGCAGATTTGACGTGAGAACTTTTTGACTTGAGAACCGCCTTCCAATACGGATTAAGTTCTCAAGTCAAGACCCCACTGTATGTCTCCTGAGGGAGTGAGGAGCGAATGAAGGCTCTCAGATACACTGATCTGAGTGGTTAAATCTATATTTTGTTCCTAAAAACTTACTTCTCCAAAGAAACAAGTGCTTAAAGTGCCCCTTGACATAGCGTGTTCATATTCCACAGTGCAAACACAAAGTCTGCCATTAAGTCTTCTATCACAGTTTTAAATCTCCAGAAACATACTACTACCACTATCTCCGCTCAATCCTCTTCTTCTGGTAAAGGAAGTAATTACTGCCAGGCCTCATTTCTCTGTAATTTTTATCAGCCTGGTCTTCTTTACTCAAGTTATCTAAATGGTGGCTCAAGGCTCCATTTGTCCCCTGGCACAGACTCACATCTTACAGATCCTCTCAGCTGCTTTCCCTCACCCAAGAAGCCATGACATCTTTGAAGTTCTCATTGGGCACTTCCCCCTGCTCCCCAATATGCTGTAGAGAGTTTGGGTGGGATTTCCCTCCTCCTTCTATAATCAGCCTCTTCCTTGGGCACTCTTAGTCTCTCCCATGACCCGGTCCAGGGATCCTCCATCCACACCTATTCCCAGCCTGGCGGTAACTGGTTTTCCTTCCTTTTTATCTCTGCTGTCCTTACCTCAAACTCCGCCCTCTTCTTCCTTTCTTTTCCTGCTGTTTCTTCCTGAGCACCACTTATCATCATCTTCTGCATCTCTTCTCCCAGCTCCTCTGTTTCTGCTCCCTTGCTGTTCTGTCTTTGTGGGTGCTGGTGTTAGCTGGATTCGTATTTTCTTATCTCTGGTGAGGAGGAGGGACGACTCTCCAGCGAGTGGGGTATCCCTCTCGCCTCCTGCCTCACAACAGCTGTATTTTCTTTTGATGTTTCTTGAACTTTGAATAGTTTTTGTGGACTGCACGTGCCAGTCTACAAAACCGACTTATTTTCCGCTCTGTTCCAGGAGCGCACACTGCTCCAAAATTGCTTTTTTGTTGTTGTCATCATTAAAAATACCTAAAAGATATATCGCTAAAGCAGCATCTAGGTTTGTGTAAAAAACTTTAGAAGGCAATATTGGAAGATGTTTCATAATGCAAGGTTTCCTTTGGACGTTCTTGTTTTAGGGTTCTTTCTCAAAGGACACTAGGTGGGTGTTTCTCCCTATTGACAAGGGAAGGGACAAGTGGGGGTGAATGTTACAATAAGGTACTGATGCAGAGGTAAACCCTTGGGGAAAGAATACTGATCACTTAGCAACTGAAAAAAAATTAAACAAAAGAGAACAAATGCAGTGGCCATACAGTGGCCATGGCACTGAAAACACAAGTGGGTGTAAAGTAATTTGAGCAATGTTCACATACACTAAATCAATGTGGATAAAAGTGAGTCATGGATCAGATCATTTTTAAAAGCCTGCGCTTTTAAAAATTCATCAGTTGGCCAAATGAATCAATTTAATCTGTGCAACATGGGAACGGAAATGTATAAAACCATTTAAATAATGGCAGAATTGCTATAACTGCAGTTCTTATGGTCCGTGTGATTATGACCTCTCTCACACACAAATAAACAACAACCAGTGCTGTGCCTGAATCCTAACTGGTGCTTGCATTGTGGACAACAGATCCCAGGAAATTCTTATGCAGCTCAGGGATATTCTAGAGGCAGTGTTTAAACTGCCTTAAGGACCAGATTGTGTGCTGTTTTTACTGCAAATTTCCCAAGTATGCAAACAATGTTCCTCTTTACCTCTCTTTGTAGTAGGTCTCCTCCACCACCAGTTCCCACACTTTTTTTTCTTTCTAAAATCAAGGTTTATTTTTAATTTGTACTGCTTTTTATGAGGTTGGCAGAGTTGAGTGCTATGGTGGTTCTCATGTGCAGTAATGCCCTCCGTGGGAGCATCCCACTCAGAAACCTTTTGTCAGATTAGCATTAGACCATCACTTGGCGTAGAAACAGAAAAAGAAAAAGCTGCATCACTGCAGTTCGGACTGCAGGGTAGAAATATGGAATGGTGAAGTGAAGGTGCCCACGACAGGAGTGAGGAGAACGTAGATGGCAGAGGAAGTGGGGAGGAAAAAGGGAAAATTGAGAAAGCCAAGGAATTCAGAGTCCCAGAGAATGATGGCAGATCCCAGGAAATTCTTATGCAGCTCAGATGGCAGAGGAAGTGGGGAGCAAAAGGGAAAATTGAGAAAGCCAAGGAAATCAGAGTCCCGGAGAATGATGGGGGGGGTCATGTTTTGACGTGGAACCCACAAGAAGTGTCAAGAAGTGTGATACAGGGTCAAAAAGAAAGAAGAAGCAAGGATGTGGTGATTCAGGAAGACCCCTCGGTGGCCAGCGCATGAATGTGCATTCCACAGGCAAATGAACATTTGCAGTGCATAAGGGAGTTCATACTCAGTGGGGAGAGGGAAAGATGTAAAGGAGGCCATGTAAAAGTCACTTAGTAGGAAGAATCAATATTGCTCAGCTTTCAATCTCTTAACTGTATTCAAAATATGATCCCTTTTTAAAAGACAAATTGCCAGTTCAGGCTTTAGAAAGAGTTGGTCTTACATCCCTTCGTGCCCCACTGTTCCAATATCAACACACACACACACACACACACACACACACACAGACACACGTCACACAGAGTCACACAGAGTCACACAGAGTCACACATGAGAAACTTGTGTGGTACTTACTTGATTGACTGGTATAACAAGAAAGGCTCCTCCGCCTGCACATTCTGTCACGACAGCAATAAAATGTGGGTTCACGGCACAAAAATGGTTGTCATGGACACTCTGGGTAATAGGCACGCCATCATAGCAGTTCTCCTTACTAGCTGCTTTGCCGTAAACGTGGCGGAATTTTGAACTCCGATACTGAGGGAACCATGACATCTGCAACGTAGGGAAAAAAAATACAGTCATGAGGTCATCAGCTCATTCTACATTTCAACAGTCAAAACAGCTTCTTAAAGAAGTGTTACACCTCCTCACTGTCACATTAGTGACCACTATTTCAGTCTCCCAATCGCTTTTTCACACTCACACAAACTGTTATTTATGGCTGAAGTTTCTGCTCTGATTGCTATCTCCATTTAATCTGCCACTGTCATCTTGAGAAATCTTATGAGGAAGATGTGCTGGTCAACTGACTCAGGCTGATATCTTACACATACTTAGTTGGGACTAAAATCTTCTGAATCCAGACTTCAAGGGTGGCTTTCATGCAGTGTCTACTGCCCTGGAAAAGGGATACTTGGTATGTTGCATTGCAGTGGTCCCCAACCTTTTTAGCCCCGTGGACTGGCTGGGGAAGGCAGGGCATCCCTCTGCACGCAGACGCATGCACAAAGGAGTGTGTATGTCCTTGTGCGGGCATGTGGGTGCATGTGCAAAGGAGCAGGGCACTTGTACGGGCACGCATACACCCATGCACATGCGCAAAGGGTGGCGCAGCACTCATGCGGGCACGCTCACACGCAGGCACAAACAGACTGTGAGGGAGGGAGTGTTGGGGGGGAGGTCTGTCTCTGTGACCCAGTCCAGTTCAGGCCACGGATCAGCACCGTGAAACGGGGGTTGGGGACCTCTGCTGTAGTGCATAGAGTGATGGACTAGGAATTGGCAGATATGAGTTCAAATCCCTGCTCATTCAAAAAAAAGTAACGGGGGGGCAGCACTGGCAAAATTACACCCTAAATATCTCATTTACCTTGAAAGCCATCTTATGTTTACTATAAGTTGGTTCCAACTTGATGGCACATAACACAGCGCCCTGAACATACCCAACTTCATCTGTTTTTGGGAAGCTCAGAAGGGCTGAGCCTTGATAGCACTTGGATGGGGGACTACCAGGAAATAGAGGAATTGCCAGTTAAGGACCAATAAAGAACCTTGTCCTAAACCTTGGAGAGCTACTTCTAATGAGAATTGACAGTGTTAGGCTACATGGACCTTTGATCTGATTCAGTATTAGCCAATGTCCTATGATTATTTTTCAAAACTGGAATCAGGAAGAATTACTTAAAACCAGACTGGTTGATGAAATGAGTGTTTGGGGTTGTGGAGTCATTCATAGAGATGTTTTCTAAGAAATGCGGGACTTAGAGATCTAAAACAGAATGCCGGACTTGTAACTGTGCTTGGGAACAAACTGGCAGCCAGAAGCCATCTTAGACCTCAAGTGCGAGACACTCTATGTGCAGCAAACACCCACTTACAATGAAGCAACTGCACTCCATATCAACGTAGGGTGTGGTCTAACTAGGAAACAGATCACAATTCGGACCGCTCATGGAGCAGTCTGGTGTGATCTATTTCTGCTGCAATTGGGCATGTGCCTTTCCACTGTCTGACTGCACCCCACGTTCTCAAACAAAGTAGTCTTCAAGGACAGCAAGACACACAGAATGCATTCACTAATCAAGCCAGGAAGTCAAGCAAAGAATGCAAAGCAGTTGTCTGGTCGTCTGGGGACAAGGAGGTGTGGCGAGAACAAATACCATTGGCACCTCAGCCTTCCCCCCTCATCAAATCCAAAGCGTATGTGACTTAAAGAAGTCAAGCCAAGGACAGCAAGACACATAGAATGCATTCACTAATCAAGCCAGGAAGTCAAGCAAAGAATGCAAAGCAGTTGTCTGGTCGTCTGGGGACAAGGAGGTGTGGCGAGAACAAATACCATTGGCACCTCAGCCTTCCCCCCCCCCCAATCAAATCCAAAGTGTATGTGATTTAAAGAAGTCAAGTACCTTACCATACAGAGTTTGAGAATAAATTCCAACATCTTTCTTAATCTTTCTTTATGTGTTGTTAAGGGTTAGCATGTTAAATTACATCTTTACACAGTAAAAAAAGGAATTTAACTGATTGCTTGACATTTGAAAAGAAGATATAGCTATTTGTGCTTTGAAGAACTCAGTAGTCAACTTTACCTAAATTCTCTGAGGATACACCCTTTCTTGGTACAGTCTGTGGTCCTTAAAACAGGAGATTCTGTGCTACTCCATGGCACATCCTGTTTTACACACAGCCGTCACCTGTTGCCTTCCAGTGTGGGAGACTACGTCTTCACTTCCTATGCCGGTTTACTCAGATAATCATTCCCAAAGAGTTCAACGGAACTTATAGATAAAGGTACACAGCCCTATAAGCTGCAGAACGGTCAATTAATTTTAAAGCTACAACTGCAGCTCTACATGTAGGAGCACTTATTCAGCTTTTTAAAAAACAAAACAAAACACAAATCTAATTGTAGCTATTGCAATAATCTAAAAAAAACCAAAACCAACAACCTAAGATCATGGCCACTGGTCCCATCACCTCCTGGCAAATAGAAGGGGAAGATATGGAGGCAGTGACAGATTTTACTTTCTTGGGTTCCATGGTCACTGCAGATGGTGACAGCAGCCACGAAATTAAAAGATGCCTGCTTCTTGGGAGGAAAGTGATGGCGAACCTAGACAGCATCTTAAAAAGCAGGTATCACATTGCTGACAAAGGTCCACTTAGTCAAAGCTATGGTTTTTCCAGTAGCGATGTATGGAAGCGAGAGCTGGACCATAAAGAAGGCTGGCCGCCAAATAACTGATCCTTTTGAAATGTGGTGCTGGAGGAGACTCTTGAGAGTTCCCTGGACTTCAAGGAGAACAAACCTATCCATTCTAAAGGAAATCAACCTTGAGTGCTCACTGGAAGGACAGATCCTAAAGCTGAGGCGCCAATACTTTGGCCATCTCAAAAGAAGAGAAGACTCCTTAGAAAAGACCTTGATGTTGGGAAAGTGTGAAGGCAAGAGGAGAAGGGGACGACAGAGGATGAGATGGTTGGACAGTGTCATCGAAGCTACGTACCAACATGACTTTGACTCAGCTCTAGAAGGCAGGAGAAGACAGGAGGTCCTGGCATGCTCTGGTCCATGGGGGCATGAACAGTCAGACACGACTTAATGACTAAACAGCAACAACAATTGCAATAATCTCTCCAGGGACTGACATTATCAGTCCAGGATCTCCACTGCAATCTAAAGCCCCATACCAGACCTGCTTGTGTCAAATCTCACAGCACATACTGCACGTATAAGCCTGTAAAGAACCACTCACCTGGGAAAAGCTAAGAATGATCACCAACCAGTTTGCCAAACAACTTCCATGGACTTACTTACAAAGTTATACAAGATAGTAGGGGCAGAGAGAAGAACTAAAAGAAGCCGTTGTGGGATTTAAAAAAAGGAAAGACTAAAGAAAGATACTTATATATCATTTCATCCTTATCCTCTGTAGGGAGGACAGCCTCTACACTGGCCTCTGGCAAAACACAAGGGGAAAAGGAGGGAAATAAAAACTCCCCAAATACTGCAGCACTTCAGAGACTAACAATTTCACATAAGTGTGAGCTTTAGTGGATCAAAGTCCACTTCCTCAGACTTTGATCAATGAAAGCTCACAGGGAAAATTATGAGTCTTCAAAGTGCTACAATGCTTTGCTTTGTCAGCCACCTCCTTTTTTCCCCTTTTCTTTTGCACACATTCTGAGGCAGAGTAACATGATTACTTCTCTTTTTAATTGAATCTAAAATACACAATAAATGCAAAACTAACAAGTGAAAAAAATGTAGTACATACTCACATACACAAAGTGCCACTCTCCACCAGGACTCTTTAAAGACACGCAGAATTTGTTTCATTTCTGATGTCCCATTCCCCTACCAAAACTGCATTGATTCTGTTGACGGTACATGACCCTTCCCTTTAATTAATGAACAGTCAATAAAAACTTCCCCAAATGTCTCTAAATATATTCTTGTTTGCCAACTGACTTGTGACATTAAGTTTTAAAAGTATTTGACGAGCATGGCTGCTTCTCTTGAAAACTGCTATACTGTACTTGCCACTGACTGTCTATATAGAACTGTGATACATAACTGGGTACTGAATTTACAAAGGAGCTGCTGAGAACATGAGGGTTAACCCCACTGCCAGTGCCTGGCGAAGGTCAGCACAAGCTGCTTGCCCACTTGAATAAGGATGTGAGGCTTCCCTGCCAGCCCACCCCACTCAAAACATCCACACATACAGGAAGGAGGAGGAAGAAGAGGATGCTTTCCTCTTTACAGTCAGCTGGCTGCTCTTTGCTGGGTTCTGAGAATAATGCGCCAGCCCCAAGGGCTCTTAGGGTCAACAGTATTAACGGAATGGGCTGGCCAAAAACTGTGTGCGCCAAAAAAAAACACAAGGATTTTATTGGTCACCCATCCCCACAATGCTTTGGCCATGAGCAGATGATATTCCCAAATCTGACCAAAGAATGGTTGGTGTAAAGCAGCAGTGGGGAGAAAGGCATTACCACTGCTCTCTTCCACCAACTCTGTGAGTGTCAACAGAGGCTGGGAGATACTCCTGGTCCAGTAAGCGCTGAGAGGTCTCTGCCACCTCCTCCTTCTGTTAAATGCCACATAGCCAAAGGGCACTCCTCAGACGTGTAGCAACCGTAGGAGAAAGAGGCTTTGTGGAAACAGCAACCAGTCCAGGCGGTAGAGAATGGGTGATAATTGCAAGGCTGTCCTAGCAGGTCCACCACCTGAGGCTACCATCTCAGTTTGACTGATGGCCAACCAGGCTCAATACCAGCTACTTGGACCGATGCCACATATTTGCTACTCTATCTCCCCACACCCTGTGTACAGAATAAATCCATCCAATCCTTCCTTTCTACATGAACAAAGCATACGCATAAAGAAAATATGCAGGACTATCTATCTTCTCTCTTTCAGCCCTTAATGCTTACAGCGACAAATCTCATTACAGGCTTTTCCTCAAAACTATCAACCACAAAATGGCCATCATGGGAAAAAGACGACTACATTAAGATCCAGTTACTGTAAAATACCCACGTTTGGTGCCCTTTTTTGCCCACACAATCACTGCTACTTAACCCTGTAAAAATGTTTTTGGAGACTCAACTGAGAGCTCATTCCTTCTGCAATCCTTGCACATTCATTTTCACTTTGTAAAATTAACTTCCTGCTGGTTATTTATTTCATATGGGCATCTGAGATCAGCACACAGGGGATTGCTTGTCAAAATGACCAAGACAATATAATGTCAAGACGGTTGCTCCTGTTTCTGTCTTCAAACCACTAGCTTTTCTGCCTCTTACACTCTGTTGAAACACTGACTGTTAGTTCCTCAGGGCAGGGACTTGTCTTTCTGGTTCACGTCACAACCTATGGCCCATCAAGCCAAACTTAGCTCACTTAACAGTGTAATAAAACTCATGCATAGAACTGCAAAAGAGGATGGGTTATCATCAGGCCTTTGGGAAGCCACAATAGGTGATCCACTGTACCTGAACAATGAGGGAGGGGAGAGGCACCACCTTATGCAGAAATCATCAGATAAAGCCCTTTCCAGTACTGAAAACTTCATCAGGCATTTCTTTGTCCCTGTGAGAAGCTCACGTGCACAGAGCAAGCTGCTACGAAAAGCAAAAGACCAGGCCACCAGGCAACGCTCTTTGAAGCCCATTTGCCACCCTACCCATCAACCCCATATTGCAACCTTGTCTTGAAGTCGAATCAGAACGCGTACCACTGCAGAGCACCGCGCAGGGAAGGCAGGCAAGATTCAGCAGGTCACAAACTATAGGGCTGCTCTGCACCGACGGCCCCACATTCACAAACACTGCTAACAAAAACATTATCTTTCTGCAATCACTTACCTTTCATTGATTTGCAACTAGGAGCACCAGCGAGTTATATTCTACCACTCTCATGAAAAAAAAATGTTGAGAAGTTTAAAAATTGAATTAGAAAGAAAGAGAGCCAAGAATAAATGACTTCAGCAGCCCATGCGGATGCGCGCGCACACACACACACACATACACCTTCCCTCCCTGTGCTGCCCGGCCAGTGTGTAGGGCAGAGCAAACAAAACAATGAAATTGGAACCTGAAACCTTGCCTGCTTGGGCGTGGCCATGGCTGCCTCCTTACCAGTCAGGTGAATCAGCTCTGTTTACAGTCTTTGCATGTTTACCTGTGACCTTAGGGTATCGCCAGTCTACCCTGTTGTTTGATGAACGTGCTTGAGGGCACCAACTAAAGCTCACACTGAAGGCCAAGGCCTTCAACAGCTTGCTCCTCAGGACAGAGATCCTGTACACCTTGGCCTAACTGGATCGGCTTTTATTCTTCTCTCCTCTCTTCCCCCACCCAGGCCTTTTCTAAAAGAAAACATCAAGCCGATTAGAGAGCTCAGGAAGTTTCCTTTGTTCCCGTTTATGTGCTTAAAAAGCAATTTGTTGCCAATTCCTGTTACAGGGTTTTAGAAAAGACGCCTCCTTGTAATGAACATATTATTGTATCTCCTTATTTTTAGAAAAAGTAGCCTAGGATTGAATGGCGTAAACATGAAAAACTCTGCTCAAAATTATTCTAAAACTTTAAAAATTAATTAATATACCACACAAACAGCACCGTTTTTTCTGTATCTTATGCACTCGTTACATTACTTCTGAACTGTAATGTCACAACATTCATATTAACCCCCAAAAAAGGTTACTCATTACAGGCAACTGCACGGCTTGTAGCTGACCACTTTACAATTCATTACAAGCTCTGGATGAACTACCATATTTTTCCGTATACAACACAACATTTTTTCCTAAAATAATTAGAGGGAAAATTGAGTGTCGTTTTATAAATGGAAGGAAATAGTTGCACGTGCACTGACGCGCCTCTTGCTGCTGCCGCTGCCGCTGGCCAATGGCCTCTTCCACAGCTCATGGCGGTGGCCAAGGAGGAGCAGCAGCAGGAGGCGGAGAGACAGAGGCGAAGGAGCATTCACACGCGCTCGGGCGCCTCTTGCTGCTGCCTCCCCTGCCCGCCCAATCACCACCTCCGGTGGGACTGACGGACTCAGCTCACATCGACACCTTGTCCCCACGGCAGCAGAGGCAGCAGGAGGCAGAGGCAGACACAAACACTCACATGCGCCCGGGCACCTCTTCCTGCTGCCCCTGCTGGATCACCGCCTCCAGCGAGCATTTCCTTAGGGCAGGGGACAAGGCTGTGAGGTGAGCTGGAGGTGAGCTGCGGCAGAGAAGCTGATCGGGCGGGCAGCAGAGGCAGCAGCAGCAGGAGACATAGGTAGAGGAGCTGTTGCCCATTAACTGTTCCTCCACCTCCGACAAGGGTCAAAATTAGGAGGTTGTTTTATACACTGGGGGGGGGTCATATACACCACTGGTTCTTAACCTTGGGTTACTCAGGAGTTTTGGACTGCAACTCCCAGAAGCCTTCACCACCAGCTGTCCTGACTGGGGTTTCTGGGAGTTGCAGTTCAAAAGCATCTGAGTAACAAAGGTTAAGAACCACTGATATACACAGAAAAATATAGTACTCATTTTAGACTACAAACGAGGAGAGTTATCATTATTGCTTCATTATAGGAAAAAGGAATTAATTACAAATATTTTTACAGTAATTTCTAGGTTAATTTATACACACAATGTAAATGTACACAAACTCCCTGCCTCTTCCCCTTACTCACATGCTCAAATACACATGAGTGTAAGTACAGTACCGCCATACTGTACTTAACGTAACCCACTAGGGTGCCAACAGATAGCAAAGCCATTGCGTTACCAAGTGATCAGAATAATATTCCTTGAGATTTCAAAGCAAAAACCTGAGGCCGCAGACTAGACCCTTATGATATCAGAGGAGTGAGCCCTTATGATGTCACAGAGATGAGCCAGGCCCAAAGAGAGCTTCCCCCCCAGGCACTGTTATGTCTCTGCCACTAAAGCTTGTGCCACATGAGTTTCAGTGCTACTGTAGTGCTCCACTCCATACTTTAATCCACATGGTGTAATGGGCCCCGAATCAACATGCTGAAGAACCAGGAGGGGAGGGACTGAAGACAGAACTAGTAGGCACCTGCATTTGGGCCTTCTGTGCTGCTGGGGAACACGCACGCGGACATCTTTATGCTGAGCCCGTGAGCCTCTGTACCAACTGGAAATGGCTGGAGGTGGGTGTCCAGACATTAAAGCCATCTCAGAGACAACCAAACGTTAGCCCTCTGGTGCTGTTCGTTGTAAGATTAATTTTCCTACCCGCAGACCCAGAAAAACGTAAGTATTTTCTGAGATCTCAGGGGGTGCTCTGAGATCTGGCAACCTACTAGGCAGGATGGGGCTTACTAGCCTCTCCTGGTATTATGACAAACTGCAAATGGTTGCTTTCAGGTCACTTCCTTCTGGGTTATTTCCCCTTTCTTCAAGGAAATAGTTTTGTTGCTTATCCTCTTTACATCTGGAATGGAAGGCTGGTTATGATGATGCCTCCCATGTTGGCCTTCAAGGTATTTGCATACATGGAACCCACTATAGGGCCTCTGCACTCAGCACCAAGTTTGCTCCTCCTCATCGGGTTTCTGGGAACAATAAATATACTTTTCTAAAACAACCTCATAACATAAGTGATTACTCCTCATTCATACCCATAAACTTCCCCTTGCCAGCCTGCTGTATTCTGCTAGGATGATCACAACAAATACCTAAAACATACACATGAAAATCCCTCCCCCAAACATCCTTACACGTTAAGCACCTTGAGTCCCTTTATACCCTCCTCGACTCCCATTACTAGGGAGAAAAGGTGAATGATAAAATGAATGAATGGACGACAGTGGGATGCATTCAGCTCAAGTTCTCTATGCCCAGAGCCTTTTGCTCCACAGATAGAGCAGACTGGCTCTCTTCTTCCTTCACTGAACTCTCTTTTCTCCTCCCCACCTTTCCCACAACAGAGGCTTCTGGGAGAG